TGTTAATTTGAGTGAAATGAATTTAATTCTTTTAAAATAAAATTATAAGTTCAAGTTTTATAAATGGAGTGATAAATATTAGAAGATTTTTTTTTTATAGAAACTAATATGACTTGACTTTAAATTAATAAAACAAATAATTGTATAATTAAGATAAAACAAATAATTGTATAATTAAGATAAAATAAAAAATTGTATAATTAAGATAAAACAAAAAATGTATTAATTTGAATGGAATGAATTTAATTCTTTTAAATAAAATTATGAGTTCAAAATTTTTAAATAAAATGATAAATATTAAAAAAAATTTATCTTATGAAATCTAAGATGACCTACTTTTTTTTTTTTTTTTTATAAGAAATGGAAAAGTATACTAAATAATAAGAAAGTATAGTAAAACCTCCATCACATGGCATAAAGCCTAAAGTATGAGAGCCTAAAAAACAGAATCAGAAGCATAACCTACAGCTTAGTAACAGATTTAAACTATACCCATGACGAATATAGATAATTAAGTAAAGAAAGCCATCTACAACTAGAAATTGCAATTGCAATCGCTGTACGGGCTAAACAGAGCTACTAAAGTAGAAAGAAGAGTCGCTATGAGCATCGGAAGCTGTTGGACAAGTCCTCACCTATTTAACCAGCTTTATGGGGAGAGCAAGGGATTTCGGCAACAAACAGTCCCTAACCCACAAGTTGCCGCCCTAATTTCCGTCGACTACTTTCAATCATGTGCCCATCATTACCAATCCTCTGAAAACCCTTGCAAGCGAAACTTTGTTAAGGGAACTTAAGCCCCTTTGCCAACGTGAGTAGCATGCTCCCGTGCAAATCAAAACCCGACGTGCCACTGCAGCCATATCGGTATTTGGCTGCTAGATCAGAAAGTGGAGTGTGCTAGTTTCTCCGAATGCCACCCCTGCCAAGATCTCATATGAGGAGATATGCATAAGTGAAAATCTGATTCAGAGGATGGGAGAAATCCAACCACCGGTCGGATCAAGTCCCTCGATATCCAGACGCAGTCGTGAAAAATCAACAGTCGATGCGGATAGAAAGGAGCCATTGCCTTGTGGTCCCTTGGGTTGAAGTTTCCAAAGCAAGATAGACGATGATGATGGAGGAAGAGAGCAAGAGGAGAAACCCTTGTTGTTGACTCAATGCACTCCAAGAGGGGGAGTGAATTGGAGTTGAAGAATTTTCACCTCTTTGCAACCACCAAACAAAAATTAAAGAGAGAGTGAAGAAGAAGAACTTGCATAATAATTTTATAGAGGTTTGGTCCAACCACTTGGAGTCTAGTCTTCTACCTTGGCTTCACTCACCAAGGATTTCCTTCACACTCTCCACTAACAAAAACCATGGTGGTTTAAAGGAGCCACTCAATCCTTTACAAGAAGAAGGGTGTTTCTCTCAAATCTCACCCCTTTACACTTAAACCCCAAAGATCCTCTTTACAGATCCTCTTTACAGATCACTCTTGAAGGAATCAACACACCCCCAAGATCACTCACTAATAGCACAAAAAGAGGATTACAAACAAATATCTCTCAAAGATCAAAATCTCTAGTTAAAGCACAAGTTGGTAGGTAAAAATATTCAATATAATGCTCTCTTAACTTGTTCATATATGTTACCAACCATATTTATAGCCCCTTGTTCAAAAATAACCATTTCTAGCTATTGGGGTTCCTTAAATGCTCTGCAGGATGCATGGCTCGAGTTGCGAAATTGTCAATACAATCAGCTTAAGCTTTTAGAGCCGGCTTTACTTACACTTCCAGAGCCGGCTATCCAAGTTTGCAACCCATTCTGTTTTTCTCGAGAGCCGACTGCAAAACTTTGAGCCGGCTTTGGAATTTCGGCTTTAAATACATTAAATATTTTTCAAATAAGTCGATCGTTGTGCATTAACTGCGCCCTCATAGCCTGCTACAAAGTGGGAGCCGGCTCTGCTTCCATTTTCCACGCACACCAAAACAACAGTTGAATTTCTGGCCCGTAGAGCCGACTCAACAAAATCTGCAGCCGACTCTCTACATTTTTGCTTCCAATAGCCCGCTGCAATTTTCTTAAGCTGGCTCTTTGCATATTTTTACCTTTTGAGCCCTTTTTAATGCAATCTCATTTTGCTTACTTTGCAGTATATTGGCAATTTAACTACACACTTAAATAAATCAATTAGTCAGTCAAATGTGTTTTATAATCATCAAAATCATAGGTATAACACTTGTCAGAGAAGAAGAGGAAGAGGGAGGAACTCCTAATCGAAGAGAAACTCTAAGGAGAAACCCATAGTCGCTACCTCCAACCCTGGGCAGAGCACGGGAGATGCAAGATGACCTACTTTAAATTAATAAAAAAAAAGCTAACACGACCTCCATACTAAGGATTTAGTGCCAAAAACCATTCAATAATGGCATGCCTTGCCTAACAAGTAAGTAATTTATTAATAATTTTTCTTTTAAAAGAAACATATTTTGTGCTCCAATTAGGAGTGGGTAAAAATTGGTTTTGGTGTTGGTTTTGGTTAAAATTGATAACTGAAATCAGTTTTAAAATAATTGAATTTTTTTTTTTAATTTTGAGAATTGAAACCGAAGTGAAATTTTTATAAACCATTGGTTTGATTACCAATAAAATCGATTTGGTTTCGATTTTTATTAAATAAATATTAATTAATTATTTTTTTAATAATAAATTATATTTTATCACATATTTTATCATATTTTGTTATATTTATCATAATTTCAATTTTCAATAAACTTATTTTTTGTTTTCGATTTTTAAAAGATTCAACCAAAACTGAATTAAATTATTTGATTGATATCAAAACTAAAAAAATAAAAACTAAAAACCATTAAAATCAAACCATATTTATTTTTTGGTTCGATTTTCGAATAACCTGTCTATTCGATTTCAAATACACAGCCTTAGCTCCTATGGAAAGAGAGCAACTTTTTTTTTTTAATGAAATTGCTGTATTGTAGTGTTCTCTCAGAGTGCACACAATTTTCCCCTTTTTTTTAATTATTATTTTTATCAACAAAAGGGGCTTTTATTACACGTTAACACTTAATACCTTGAGCGAAATCCGTACCCCAAAAAAAAAAAATCCCTTATGCCGCCGGCCAAACCAGAATCCCTGTTTGGCAGAAATCCAGCGACCACCGCAAAATTGTTGATAATTCATAATAAAAATTAAATTAAAAAACAAATAAAATAAATCGTGCAATTTAAGTCGTTAATTCATTGATCCGAAAAAAAAGAGGGGTACATCAACTAATAATTAATACCAAACAACAAGAGAAAGGGAAGGATTTCTCTTTGTTGCAAAAAAGGGGAGATAATCAGCTACTATTCACATCTCGAGCGCCGTTGATTTCTGATCAGATGACTCTCGCAGCTCCCACCATAATTTCGCTTTTTTACTTTTTCTATTTTTTTTTCTAGCCTATTATTTGAACTAAAATTATAAAAAAAAAAAAAAAAAGGAAATCAAATTTAGAAAACATGCAACGATATCCCGGTCGTTGAGTGTTGCGACGGGGAAAAAAAAAATCAGGCCGTCTCCGGTGGTGGAGGGAGGTTCAGATCCAGACCGACGACTACAGGAGGCTTGATCTCGTGGTGGTTCAAATCGATCACAGTGGAGGAATCGGAATCGCTCTGTGCACCACCGCTGAACTTTGCCTGAAAATTATGATCAAATCGCATCCGTGGATACTGTTGACCCTTGATGGCTTCGGCCCCAACAAAGGCATCAAAATAAAAAACCTGAGGAGCCGCCATGGCCGGCATGGCTCCGGCAAAAACTCCGGCTATTGAAGAAAACGGTTGGAACGGAAACCTAACAGCAGCCGACGCAGACGCAGATCCACATCCCTTGCCACCGTCGCCGCAGCCGGCATGCCCGAGGTTGAGATCTAACGGCGAGGATTCGATCATGAGCGTCGGCTCCCGGCTGGACGACTCGACGGTACTACTCTGGCTCGGACTCTGATTGTTATTATTCTTACAGTTAGCGTTGTTGTTGTTGACGATTTCGCAGGGAAGGGGGAAGTTGGTTTTAGCCTTGGCGCCGCGAAACTCCCGAGCGGCTTTGTCGTAGGCCCGGGCAGCTTCCTCAGCGGTATCAAAAGTGCCAAGCCAAACACGGCTCTTCTTCCCCGGATCTCTGATCTCAGCGGCGTAACGTCCCCACGGACGCTTCCTCACTCCCCTGAAATGCACCTCCTTCAGGCTACCGTTACCGCTCTTAATCGTCACCGCCTTCTCCCTGGGCGCCATTTAATAAGATAATAATAAACAGAAAGAAGAAGCGTTTTGGGGTTTCTAATTTTCACGAGCAGGTACGAGTGTCGTGGTTGGTTATGGAGAGAGAAACGGAATGGTGGTGGGAGGAGGAAAGGAGGAGACGGGTATGTGGGGCTTTATAGAACGGAATCGGCGAGGAATTGAAAAGGAGAGAGATATGGGGGTACAGTCAAGGAGGGATTTGACTGGGGCGGCTACGAAAGTGGTGGCAAATTAGTAATGTTGTCCCTGAATTACGTGGCATGTTGGTTGTTGTTATCCCTGTACATTGCGTGCGGTGATCTGGGTTCCCTCTCACTCTCGCCTCCGCGCGTGACCTTACCAGAGAACCCTTGGGGGATAAGTATTATCTTTGTTTTAAAATAATCGATATTTTTTATTTTAAATTTTTTTTAAAAGAATTTTTTATTATTAAAGTTAGACATTTTTTCATTTATTTATTTTAATTAATTTTTTATTAAAATAATATCTATTTACTTTATATCTAAAAGTTAAGAGAAAAATTATTTTAAAATTACAACATTTCAATAAATTTTTATTAAAAAATTTAAATATT